ACGTGGAGGAATCCGAACCGGCGTCGCCACTGCGCATGCTCCGCCCCCTGGAGCCGACACTTGGCCCCACAGCTTGTGGGGCGCCTACCTTTTCTCGCGGGCAGCCCCGCGCGAAAGAAGAGGGGGAGGACTGGGAGCCCAGCGGGACGCGCGCTCGGTGAGGAGGAGGAGGGAACCGGCCCGAGGTGTGGAGGGCGCTGACGTGTTTGCTCGGGCACCTTGCAGTGTCACTCCGGACTTCCGAGTGTCGCCCTGCGCCCACCCGGTTTCCTCCACGGTAAAGACGGGGATGTGGACAGACGGTGGGGCGCGGCCTGCCGGCGCTTCCCTGAGTGCTGCCGGCACGACCCGCCCCGGCGCCGCAGGACCTGGGCCTTCCGTCGGCGTCGGGCTCGCGGTCCGGTCCCTCCCCTGCCTGAGGGCGCGAAGGGCGAACCGGTTCCACTGGGCAGTGGGGCGAGCGCGGCCCTGTATGTTCTTGGATTGTATTCTTTCAAGTAGAAAATTTGAGTGTAGAGGAACAAGAGCAAAAGGAAAATATTAACAGGACTTAAAAGATCAGCTAGAGAAATGCCTGCAGTTTTAAGATCTCCCATGCTAGCAAAGCAGCAGTTGAATCTGACTTTTTTCCCGTGGTTTTGTCACCCTCTTGCAGTTCAGTATATTTTAACATCTGATGGGTGCCTTTTTTCCTTTAGACTTGAGGATCCTTTTGAATGCACTGGATGATCTATTTTTTTTTTAATTCTTAAGTTAACTATGTTATTTGTATATGTTGACTACAATCCAAAAGAGTAGACAACTACTTTTTACCCAGTTCTTTTTTAAAAACACCTTCATTATTGTTTAAACACCATAAAGTTCACTCATTTTAAATGTGCAATGCAACGAGTTTTAATAAACATGCAGAGGTGTACAACCATCACCACCACCTAATTTTAGACTCTTTCCATCACTCCAAAAATATCTCTCATGCCTGTTCCTGATAAGTCTTCATTCTCGCCACCGTAACCTCAGACAACAACCACTACTACTTTCCTTTCCGTCTCTATAGATTAGAGATAGCCTCTAAACATGAGCAGCAGTCATAGATGCAAGGGGCATTATCAAGCAAACGGTGCAGAACCAGGATGCAGAAGGAGGAAATGGCATGGCAATTGAGAAACCTGCAAGTATTCTGGGGCAAAACAGGTAGGTAGCAGGGGATTTTTATTGAGACTAGGGGCCCAGTGCACGAATTTGTGCACCTTGAAAGGAATTGTGGGCCAGGAGGCTGCGCTGGGCACAGGGACGGGTCTCAACCCATCCTCCATGCCCCCACCTAGTCCCTCCTGCTGTGGCCCCTGGTCCCCTGTCTGCCAGCAGCCCTGCTCCCGCCGCCGCTGCTCTCAGAGCGATTGGGGCCAGCGCTGTCAGCGGGTGCAAGCTGCGGCTGCCAGCCCTGATGGCCCCTCAGGAGCAGGGGGAGGCGGAGAAGCCCTCAGGGATGATCAGGGCCGGCAGTTGCTGTTCGCACCCACTGACGGCACCGAGCAATTGGGACAGGTGCCAGCAGCAGGTGTGAGTGCCAGGCAGGGCTGCGGCGCACGGGAGCAAAGAATTTTCAGTAACCACCAGAGGCTCGCCCTGATGACAGCGACTGGAGCCCTGCCTTGGTCTGCTGTCCCGGCTCACCTGCTCCACCATCCCACTGCAGCTGACGCCCACCATGTTCTACACATGTCCCCTGGTGGTCAGCGCATATCATAGCGACCGGTTGTTCAGTTGTTCCACCGTTTGATCTATTTGCATATTAGGGTTTTATATATATGGATGAAACTGGAAGAAGGATGCTGGAAACCAGATCATGAAAAGCCACCTAAGGCTAACCAGGGAGCCTGTGCTTGATCCTTGTTGAAAGACAGGATTATTTTGGAAGATCACTTTGTTTGCAGTTAGAGAAAAGATTGGAAACAGGCAAGACTGGGAGATCAGCATAGAGAGACTACATGGTAGTGTGCACCAAAGGGAGAAACTGGATGGAAAGAATATTTGCATTTTAAGGCAAAGTTTTCCCCTTTTAATTTTATTTTAAGTAGTAATAAATACACATGCTCAAAAATCACAGCAAGTAAAAGAATATATGAATTATATATCTTACGGATAGTAAAAGTATAGGATTATATTGGGTGGAATATTGTTGCCCAAAATTCATGTCCATCTGGAACCTCAATGTCACTTTATTTGGAAATAGGGTCTTTGCAGATTTAATCCATTAAGATGACGTAATGCTGGATTAGACTGGGCCCTAAATCTAATGACTGCTGTCCTTATATGATGAGAGGATGAAGAGATATATAGACACAGAGGAAGAAGGACGTGTAAAGATGGAAGCAGAGATTGCAGTGAAGTAGCCATAAGCCAAGAACTGCTGGGAGCCAGTAGGAGCTAGGGCAGGGGTGGGCAACCCCTGGCACGCGTGCCAAACATGGCACGCCAGTAACTTTTGCTGGCACGCAAAACCCTCTCTTATAATCTTCCATTTACAATTTTTTTCTTAATACCGACTTTTTTATTTTTCAG